GAGTATTACTATTCAGCGTTTTTACTATATTTCTAGGTTTCCTATTTCTACGTTTAATCGGCCCATGTCTCAGCCACAATATTTTGTGGCCAATATTATTTACGAACCCAGTTAAACTTATTTACTAGCCTATTTCATTTAGGCGACGCTTGTTGCAGACTGGCATACACAGTGTTTTCGGAAATAAATACCATTTTATACACATGCGCAGATCGATTCGCCAGCAGCGAGTCATCGCCAGCAACAGCGAGTCGCCAGCAGCGAGTAACTGCAGCAAAACACTATTGTACACGGTACCAACGCTGTTCTAATATAGACAATGGGTCGTGTCTCATATTATTTGTTATATTTTTATTATTCGTTATTTTCACTTGACTCGCATAAATAATTTTGTTCGAAGAACATTTATATGCAGTTGTACTTCGCAGCACTTCACTTGTAATTTGCAATTTCTAGTTTATCGTTATTTTCTTTATTCAATTAGATACAGTAGCTCCAGTTATTTCCTGTCAGAAGGGCGAGTTAAAGTATACAACGCCTTATGTAAACTACAGGAACCCAACGGTGACTGATGACCAATCCACTAATCCAACTGTATCGTGTCAACCTGAATCTGGTTCTGTTTTTGAAGTTGGTGATACTCTCGTTGAGTGCATAGCTATCGATGACGTTAACAATGCTGCATCGTGTTCATTTCTTGTTAAAGTGTCAAGTAAGTTAATAATAAAATAAAATAAATTCTGTTGTCAGTGTTTTCTTCCGAGCGCCACTGGCGGTGGGAACAGATGCTTATCAACGATCTTATAATAACAAGATAGTGTTCCCGCTATTTATATCTGCGTGCACATTCTGTAATAACGTAGTGTACGTTGGGCGCTTACTTTTGAACTTTAACATCTATGATCTACGTGCAATTTCTGGAACACCAACCGTGGTATAACAACCAGAGGTGGTAACAACTAGGACGCCCTCCCTCAATTACAACTCGCCGGGTTTATCCACGTGCCAGTCTGAACATGGTCTGAACTAGGTGCCTTATCTCAAGCCGGGCTGTGTTCCTATGGTAACTAGGCCTGACGTGCCACCGTGTTTAACTTTCTAAGCCGGGCTTTAATCGCTTGGCTTTAATTGAGATACGCCACCTAGTTCGGAGTTGCAGGTGGATAAACCCGGTGAGTTGAGCCGGGTCTCCACCTAGTCCGAACTAGGCCTAAACGTAGCCTGAGACGGAGTCTCCAGTCAGGTTCATGATTACAGTAAAGAAAAAAACACTAAAACTAGAAATTGCAAATTGCAAGTGAAGTGCTGCGAAGTACAACTGCATATAAATGTTCTTCGAACAAAATTATTTATGCGAGTCAAGTGAAAATAATGAATAATAAAAATATAACAAATAACACGACCCATTGTCTATATTAGAGCACTTCTTATTGGGTAACAAAGTCGTAATTTTTCATTTTTGTCAAAAAGTGTCTATAGTGGTGAATTATGGTTTCAAAAATTTCTATGTATGTGGAAAATGTAGTTGATTACCAAAGGTTACAATTTTTATTTTGAAGACTGCATGGTCTAGGAAGTGTACATTTTTTTATGGGGCAAGTTTCCAAGGGCGGGTTTTCCAGGGGTGAGTTGACTGCCAAAGACGTGTTGCCAAAGTGCGAGCCAGCGTGTTATTTGATCACAAGTGCGAGACATCACAAGTGTGAGCCAGCGAGCCATGACGTCACGAAAATAGATACGAGACGTTAACGAGTTTTGCGAGGTATCGACTGAGATATGTGGAGTACAATTCAAAACTATAGGTCTAATAATGAATTATTGTGATGTTAAATAGACAATGTTAGCTATCAAGGAGTGACGTTGTTTTTCATTGGGACCTTCGTCCCTTCAAGGCTAGGCCTATATCATCCTAGCTAGTCCTAGAGTAGGATAAGGCTAGCGTAACATGCGGACATTGGTACGTGTAGGTTAGTCTACAACGTCGACTAAAGTAATTGATTTTACCCAGCAGAACGAAAGAAGGAAACTCTGCTTTTCAGTCATCTTAGGCACTTGTTTTTTGACAAACAATGACCTTTCAGAGGTCAAATTGCTGTCAAGAATATAAATTGGCTGCTTCGCAGCAATTAATCATGTAGTGTAGTAGACAAAGTATTGTATACCCTATCCCTTAATATCATACTAACGTTTAAAATGTATATATTCAACCAAAATGCAGAATACAAAGACGTTTTTCCACCCAGCATCACTTGTCCAATGGATATCATTTCACCAAGCCAATCTCCAGATTGGACCATTCCAATTGCCACAGATGACCAAACACAGTCACCGCCGGTTGAATGTTCACCGGATCCAAATAAAGAATATGCAATTGGATCCGTGAATGAGGTCACTTGTACTACGATTGATGACGCAGGAAATAAAGCGTTGTGTTCATTTACAATAAGTGTTGGTAGGTGGCAAACATATACTGATAAGATTACATAAGAAAAGATGCCTATTTTTAACATTTTCAATATAAGTATACACATTATTATTATACTGGATTAGATTGGATTTCACTCAAAAGTTCTTAGACTTATTTCTGGTGGGGAATTGGGCAGTACACTGGGCGACAATCCTTAGTCTTTTTCAAAGAGTGTAGAAC